CGTTATTTGTGACATTGCAGTATACCAGATCTGTCATTACAACATACACGTTATTTGTGACATTGCAGTATACCAGATCTGTCATTACAACATACATGTTATTTGTGACGTCACAGTATACCAGATCTGTCATTACAACATACACGTTATATGTGAGGTCACAGTATATCAGATCTGTCATTACAACATACATGTTATTTGTGACGTCACAGTATACCAGATCTGTCATTACAACATACATGTTATTTGTGAGGTCGCAGTACACCAGATCTGTCATTACAACATACATGTTATATGTGACGTCACAGTATATCAGATCTGTCATTACAACATACACGTTATTTGTGACATTGCAGTATACCAGATGTCATTACAACATACATGTTATTTGTGACGTCACAGTATACCAGATCTGTCATTACAACATACATGTTATTTGTGACGTCACAGTATACCAGATCTGTCATTACAACATACACGTTATATGTGAGGTCACAGTATATCAGATCTGTCATTACAACATATACGTTATTTTTGACGTCACAGTACACCAGATCTGTCATTACAACATACGTGTTATTTTTGACGTCACAGTACACCAGATCTGTCATTACAACATACGTGTTATTTTTGACGTCACAGTATACCAGATCTGTCATTACAACATATACGTTATTTGTAAGGTCGCAGTATACCAGATGTCATTACAACATACACGTTATTAGTGAGGTCACAGTATACCAGATGTCATTACAACATAAATGTTATTTTTGATATCACAGTACACCAGATCTGTCATTACAACATACATGTTATTTTTGACATCACAGTACACCAGATCTGTCATTACAACATACATGTTATTTTTGACATCACAGTATACCAGATCTGTCATTACAACATACATGTTATCTCAGTCTTACAACTTTATCACCTCCATAACTTTTCGGTTGCATATATTAATTTCATAATTCAAGTTGTTTGTACAAGCAGTGAGTAAATACTACTAACTATATCTTTGGTAAAGGTAGAATCTTGTGGAACTTCTTTTTTAAATCATTTTAATATGAACTGAAATAACGAGTTTTAGTGTAACATTGTGTTCAGACTAGACATGACAAGTATTACATTCCAACAACTTACAGGTTAGCTTCAGTTGCTCCCATTTTCTTAAAAATACTTTTACTATATGCATACTGTTTCTTTAGTTAGTTAAAAATATTTTTAAAGACGGCAGGTTTAACAACTATTTGTATACAAAACCCACATAACTATGACAGATCTTAATCTAAGGATGCTGAGATACATGAATTAATTAAAAAAACACATACATACATACATACATAAAGGAAAAAGTTTATAAATCACTTAAAGGATAGAACAGGTACACTATCGAGAGAAATTTTTGTTTTTTACCTTTGATATAGTTATCTAAAACTAAAATGTCCTAAAGATTCAAGAAAAAAATTCACTTCCTAGCAAGTTTAACATGATTTTATTCTCTCTATCCATAAATTACATACATGATTTTATTCTCTCTATCCATAAATTACATACATGATTTTATTCTCTCTATCCATAAATTAGCATACATGATTTTATTCTCTCTATCCATAAAGCTCTGTAACTCTTCCTGTGATGCGCTGTCTTCTCTACATCCATCTCTGTAACTCTTGCTGTTGTGGTGGTTTCCAGGTGACTATAGGCATCCACATTTCTCCGTGATACCTGGATTTATTTCTGTTCACAGATGTTCTAGATACCTTCACCTTTTCTGGTGTTTTGTCTTCCGTTTCCTTGATGTGGGTATTTCAGTGGATATACCACCATCATCTGTTACAAATATCTGGATATCCTGTTTATGATCTATTCTGGTAACTCCGCTGTTGTTTCTTCAATAAACCAACAGAGAGATACCTACTCTTGGGAGCTCAGCTTTTGTGTTCTCAAGCTCCTCTTTTGGTTTCATGATGACAATGATGCCATGTCTTTTGGTTTCATGATGACAATGATGCCATGTACGTGGAGCTTTGAATTTAATTGCAGATTTTGTCCAGACCGAATCATGTCAACAGAATGGTTCTTACGCTCACTGGTGTTTCTGTGGATTGTTTCTACTTTGGGAGTCCTCTTATCAATGTATTTGTGACTCTCGTCTACACCAAGTTTTCCCAGTCCCAGACTCCATGGATCTGCACGGTAGTCCCTGTGTGTCAGAACTGGTTCACCCTCTTTCTGTATGCTTAAACCCCATTCTTCTGGATTGTTTCTACTTTGGGAGTCCTCTTATCAATGTATTTGTGACTCTCGTCTACACCAAGTTTTCCCAGTCCCAGACTCCATGGTTTTGTACGGTAGTCCCTGTGTGTCAGAACTGGTTCATCCTCTTTCTGTATGCTTAAACCCCATTCTTCAACTTCTAAGGGAATGAATTAACCATATTGGGTCTTGGAGTGATGTACTTGAAGCCAAGACCTCAACCATATAGAACGTTTTTTTTTAAAACAGTTGGAGGATTGATTTAAAAAAATTATTGCTTCACCGGCTCGTACCTGTTACTGGTGAATATGATAATAATGAAACAAGTAGCAGTTGTTATATTGCAGTCAATTCCACTCTATTATCACTAAGAATGTCTCTTATGTATACCTCCTTTAAGATATTGACTGTCACCTAGTAAAACAGTTGGAGAATTGTTTCATTGTAGTGTTTGATAAAAACTAGTAATCTTAATTGATGGTTATTAAAGTTATGTTGTACAGAAATAAGATTTTATGATGTTATTGTTAAGAGAATTTTAGCTCAAGATAAATGTGAGCACTTTTATATCATAATATAAAAAAATATCAGTAGAAGTATCGTACAAGTTTTATTGTTGTAAGAGAAGATTGATAATACAGATGTTTGGTTTTGTGAGAAAATGGATATAAATATTACTCTTGATATTGTTTTAAAACTTGCATGTTCATAATGTAAAGATATTTTTAAAAACTAAAGAATGTGTGGGAGTGTAAAAGTCCACTAATCATGACAGTTGGTACTACCAAATCTTGGGTTCAGGGTATTGTAAGTTATATATGTACTAACCCAGGGCTGGTGCAGTTCTGTTTGCATGAAATGTTTGTGAAATCCAACTCTGTATTAAATTATTGGAATAAATAATATTTACTGTCACTGGTGTGATCGTTGTCAAGAATATCTTGTACCTGTTCTAAAACAAATCTTCCTTACTGATGTAATAAAATAAAAACTCCGTAGCTGTTGAAGTTTGGAGACATTTAATCTACTTTGATAAGATTATCTCTGTGCAGCTTTCATGTTTAATGATGAGCTAAATATGATGTGCATGCAATGGTTGATCAGTTGTTTGAGATTTTCAGATGGTTAACTGTAGTTTCTTGGTAATAATACTGTACATTTTAGGGAATAAAAATTATAGTTATCTCAAGAAAACAATATTAGCTATAGTCAATAACATTCCAACTATATGTTGATTTAACTCAATTTAATCAGTATTATTGATTAGTGTTGCAAAAAATAATCAATTAATTGAAATTAATGTTTTAAATTACTGCTGTTTTAGATTATTTTAATTATCCAAGAAATTAAAATATTGCCATTATGTTTTATCATTATTCCCGATTAATTCGAGTATGTTCAGCTTAATAGTGTCATGACTCGATAAAATAATCAACTAATTGAAATTGGTGTTTCTGATTATCACTGTTTTTGATTATTTCAACTATCCGAGTCTCGTGTGAGAATAATTGATTAATGTTAATCAACTTATCACATTCCACTAACTGCAAAGCTATAATTTCAACAGTAGTAGTGTTTTCTTATCTGCCGTTGTAATGGTACAACACCTTAATTTTAACAAACTATAGTACTTGTTACTTAACATGGTATATAAAAGTCTGATTGGTACTGATGTCCTTAGCAGTTTTTCGTTTTTCTATCTTTCTAAAAATCATTTGTTTATCTACTGTTAAAGTTTGGTTGTTACCAGTGAAAAACATTTAGGTAGTCACTTGCGTTTGATTAAATGTTATGATAACCTTGAGGATGGAAAAAACATAATTATGCATTTTATTTGTTTGTATAGAGCTGTAGTAGGTTTTCTATAATTATGGTTTTGTTTGATAATGTTCATGTGTACAGAAGTTTACACAATAGGGGAAATAAAAAAAAATCAAGACGACCACTGAAATGACATTAAAATTAGTTTGGAAACTGAAAAATATATTGGTAATATACAAGTAATTAGTAGTGAAAGTTGTGTTTTTGAGGAACAGTTGTCAAAATATTGGGAGATTAAACATATAATACACAATTTACCACCCTGAAATAGCCATTATATATTCTGACTAACAATGTCGGACGTCTCTACCCTGCTATAACACTCAACATGCTAATTTAATTTTTGTAAGGCTGAGTTTAGTAAGAAAATCAAAAAGTGAAGACTCGTCACATGGACCTATTCTCTTGCATACTAACAAACCAGTGATTGGAAACTAACTAACTAACACATACACCTTTGATATTTGATGAAACTGGCTGTATGAAATAACCAAGATATTATGATATGAAGCTACAGTTTTCTTGTGTATTGTTTGGAGACCTAGGTTCTTAAGTTTCATCATTTTATTTTATTTTTCTTTACAGCCAGTTGGAAAATTGTTTGCCCTTTCCCCTCACAATCAAGCGAAGATGCCAGAAAGTGCGTGGAAGTTTGTATATAGCTCTTGTGCATGGACGAGTACTGTGTATGTAGTCTGTTTGTCTGGACGCTATCAGTTCTTTCACAGGCCTAGTATGGTGTGGGATAGTAAGTAGTAACCTTGGCTTCAGGACCTTTTTTCTTGTCTTGAATAAATATGTAAGATATGGTTCCTCGTTTAGAGAATTACTTTAAGTGTAGTGTGATGGATACTATGAAATATACTAATGGAGAACCTTGGCCCAGGGCTTGAGGCTCATTAACGGGTAAAATATACAGTAAAACCTACTGTCCTGGGTATAGTGATGAATCCCACCTATGGTCAAAAAATTCTACATTTGATAAAATATTTCATCCCTGAGGTCATTAGACAGAATCATGTATGTAATTTATGGATAGAGAGAATAAAATCATGTATGTAATTTATGGATAGAGAGAATAAAATCATGTATGCAATTTATGGATAGAGAGAATAAAATCATGTATGCAATGGATGTAGAGAAGACAGTGGATCACAGGAAGAGTGACAGAGCTGGATGTAGAGAAGACAGTGGATCACAGGAAGAG